GTAAACCTAACCCTATCGGGCTGAAAAATTTTGTATCCACTGCACCTGACGGATTGCCTCTCGCCTTCTTTTTGTACCAAGGTAAGGGGGATGAAATCAACGAGGTAGACCCAAAATTGAAACTTCAGCTTAGGCGGGAAAGTTGTTTTAAAATTAGCTGAGACTTAGCCAGAAGGATGTAATATTTACATGGACCGTTTTTTTCACATCAATCACAGTATTGGAAGAACTCTTTGCCCTTGGTATGCATGTAACTGGACCTCTGCAAAAGAATAGGATTAACATTGAGTGTAATTTTGCTAGCAATAGTGAGTTTTGTGCACGAGGAAGAGGTCGCTTTGATCAGCTGGTGCGTGATGATGGCCAGTTAACATGTATAAAATGGATGGACAGCAACTTTGTCGTGATATCTTCAACTAACCATGGTTCCCAGCCGGAACAAATATATATCGCTGGCTTAGAAGTGAAACCTCGTAAGTAAAATTATGCCTGCTGTAACAAACAGCAGACGTAAGGATTCGTTAAAAGGCTATTTATTCTTACTCCAAAAAGAAAAGAAAACTGTTTAGGCGCATCACATATTACGGGGATTGATCTCTCACTGATTGAAATTCTTTAAGATTCTTTAAGACAATTCATCAAGATGTTTGGATTTCATAATTTGAAGTAGTGGTTTGTGATCTGTTTGGATTGTTATTCTCTTGCCAATAATAAATTCTTGAAATTTTTCGCCCAAGCAACAGCTGTAGCCTCCCTCTCAATGTTTGCATGGTTTTTTTTCAGAAGGTAGAAGGCTTTGGGATGCAAATGATACTGGTTGTATAGAACCATCATCTTGAACTTGAGAAAGAGTTGATCCTAGCCCTTGAAGCAAGGCATCACAGGAGATAATTGTTTCCCGATTTACATCGTAAATGGCTAGGCAAGGAGAGTTAGTCAAAATAAGTTTCATTTCATCAAATGACTTTATTCTGGTGATTGGTGGGACCAATGATGTGGAAACCCGAAGAATGGAGAGTCTGATGAGCGACTTTGATAATTTGCTGTTAGGTACCACAAACACAAACCTTGTTTTTGCCTCACTGCCTATGCGCCACGACAAACCGAGATTAGACAACAAAATCAGTGACATAAATAATAAACTAATTGAAAAAATGAATTGCTCAAAGGGGAACAATAAACTGCTAGAACTTCATCTTTTGCCTCGTCGCCTATACACGAACCATGGTCTACACTTCAACAAGAAGGGCAAAAGGAAGATTGCTGAAGAAATTCTAAAATCACTCCAGGACTGCTGCTTCAACCCATCCACAGTCAACAAACAGAAGATGAGACTACCCTCTGACGATGACCCAGTCATTGTTGTCGAAGCAGACATGAATGCCGCAATACACAAGCTAGGAGATGAAGAAGAGGTAGCTTTTGTTCACTGTATCTCTGCTGACGTTGACAGTGACAGGCACATGAGTGCAGGTGTAGCGACAGCATTTAAAAAACATTTCAAGAAACCCTTAACAACAGATTTTGTACACTCACACCTAACTTATCAAACAATTTACAAAGTTTCAGTATATGGATTAGTAACCAAACCTAAATATTACAGTAAACCAGACATCAGGGATTATGACAAAGCTTTCGATTCTCTGGAACAGGGCGTAAGACAGAAAGGCCAAAAGTTAATAGTTTGTTCACCAGCGGGCTGTGTCAGGGATAATGTTCCTGTCGAGCACATGGTAACCAGAATATGCCAGCTGCAGCAAAGGACAAATGCCAAAGTGATCACAGTTGTGAATGATGAGAACTCTTCCAGAACTCTCTGAAGTGGGATTTCTTACAATGATTTTGTAAATAAAATAAAACTTAACATCTTTAATGTCATGAACAAAACCGATGATTCAGGAAGTGGTGCTTCAGCAGACATCACGGTCAACACAACTGAAGGTGTGACAAAAACCTCTACTGACAAAATGTCTTTTGATAAAAGTAGTACCTGTAGTGTAAATACTAATGTAAATAGTAGTGATCTTCAATAAAACTTAACGGCAGCAACCCAAGTGTATGTAACTTAGCTTTAGATAAACAAGTAGCCAAAACAATTAAAAAATGTAAAGTTTAATGTAAAATATAAAAAAAAAAATATTCAACAAAAATGTTTGTTAACTCACTTAAATATTCAGGGATCAAGTTTAAGTAAATTTGTTGTCTTAAAAGTTACTTTAGATCATTTAAAACTTGAACCAGAAATTGTTTGTTTGTCAGAACATTGGATGGATACAAATGATGTTCACTTGCCTAACTGTTTTTCCTCCTATAAGCTAGCCTCAGTTTACCACAGAAATGTAAATAGTAGGGGAGGGGTATGTATTTTTGCAAAAAATAATATCACTTTTAAAGAAAGGAAAGATATTGATTCTATGGCAATTGAAGAAGCTTTTGAATGCACTGCTATTGAAACAATGAATAATGAAAAGCCAACCAAAACAATATACATTGTAATTTTCAGGACTCCGAATGACCAAAACCTAAAGATTTCTTTCTCAAGCTTTGAAAAACTATTACAGCACCTTGAGGCAGAACAACATTTGTGTCCAATATACATAAGTGGGGATTTCAATATAGACATGCAAATTGATGATGAAAAATGTGTTAGGTTTAAAACTTTGTTTCAGTCTTTTGGGTACAATGCCATGATCAAGGAGTATACTCGAATAACACCAACTACAGCCACTTGTATTGATAATGTAATTTCAAATGTAAATAGTATTGATAAGGTTTGTGAAGTAGTGGACTTTGGGATATATGACCACTTAGGTCAGGTAATTTGTCAAAGAAATGAAATAAGGCCTAACCAATGTAAAAAATACTTGTCGAAGCGGGTCATAAAGAAGGAAAACGTTCTTGGTATGTTAAACGGTCTGATTGAAGAGAACTGGACTAATTGCATGTCAAACCTTAGTTCTAATGGTAGTTTCAATAATTTCTTTGGAATATTCTATGATTCTTTTTTGAATAATTGCCCAATTAAACAGAAATCTCTGTCAACAAATGAGAGAAATAATCAATGGGTAACAAAAGGTATTAGAATATCCAGTAAAAAAAAATGGGAGCTTTATAAAATTTCTAGAAATAACACAAATCCTGTTTTCTTAGAATACTGTTTTCTCAGTAATTTGGGCAGCCAAAATGAGGTACAACTTAAATTTGTTGGAGAATAGTGATAATGTAGGTAAAACAACATGGAGCATTGTAAAGAGAGAAATCGGTACAAATTGTAAAACAGAACCTTGTCTAGGAATCAAAATTAATGGGGAGGTTATTGACGATCCTATAAAAGTAGCTGATTGCATGAACCATCACTTCATTGGTGTAGCAAATAAGTTTCAGTCCCAGGTTTCGGTGGCAGATTCAATAGCCAAAGCAAAAATGGCAACTCTAAATGTCCCACATGCATTTGAATTTAAGATTGTCTCTGAATCCGATGTTATCTCCTGCATCAATCGATTAAAGAATAAAAGTTCAACTGGCTGGGATAAAATTCCTACAAATGTAATAAAATCATTGGCTTCTTCAATTATAAAACCACTCACTCATTCTATCAACATTTCACTCCTTACAGGAGTCTTCCCCGACAAATTGAAGTATGCTCAAATTATACCTATATTTAAAAAGGGGGACTCGGAAAAAATTGCAAACTACCGACCAGTGGCTCTCTTACCTGTGTTTTCAAAAATATTTGAAGAGGTTGTTCTCTCACAAATTGTTCCATTTCTTAAATCAAACAATTTATTGAACAAGAATCAATTTGGTTTTCGGAGGGAGAGAAGCACGTCTGATGCAATAGGCCTACAACTTACAAAAGATCCTGCGCAGAAACCGTTTCACGAGTCACTCGCGCGCCCAGAGGGGTGACGGTGGCGGCGCTGGCGGGGAAGTGGGCGAGGCAGTGGTGGGGATCAGTTGTGCGCTGCTGCCAGCCTCGTCGTATCGTCTCTGTGCCCGCACGAGCCCCGGCACCGGCTCTACTCGGGGGCAGTGACCTTGATCATGGCCTCAACCTCTAAATTGTCGTGTTCTTCTGGTAGACCATTGCGAGGTCAAGCACGCGAAGTTGTTTATAACGTTTACAAACATTTGAAGGAGCAAAAAGAGCAGCTTAAACTTAAATATAATGTTGCTGAATCAGCAAGTATTGCCACCGGCGTGTCAATTGCATTAGTTAAACGTATTGCAGCTGAAGGGAAACAGTCCTTGGTCAGTAAGGGGTCCCTAAGTTTTTCGACGCCGTCGGGCAAATCTAAAAAAGAAAGTCAAAGATTTTTATCGACGGATTCACGCGAGATGTGATTAGAAGGAAAATCCACGAGTTTTACGTCGTAAGAAAAACACCACCCACTTTGTCAAAACTGAAATCTGTGCTTGAAGAGGAAAACGTTTTGAAGTGTAGCCGCGAATACCTTAGACGAACGCTTCATCACATGGGATTTCGATGGGAAAAATGTAAAAAAAACAGAAAGATCCTTATGGAAAAGCCGGAAATAGTGAAATGGAGGGCAGATTATTTAAGAGAAATCAGACGTTTAAGAAACCAGAATAAGACCATAGTGTACCTAGACGAAACTTATGTAAATAAGAATCACACTGTTTCAAATTGTTGGCAGTCTGAGTCTGAGTTAGGCTCAACAAAGTCCATAGGAAAAGGCCCTAGACTCGTTATAATTCACGCAGGTTCTTAACAGGGATTTGTGCCTAATGCACTACGTATGTGGCAGTCTGATAAAAAGAAAAAACAATCAGAGTACTATCACGACGAGATGAATTTCACGAACTTCTCAAAGTGGGTTTCAGAAGCACTTTTGCCTAACATTCCCCCCCAATGTGTAATAGTTCTCGATAAGGCAAGTTACCATAATAAGCAGGATGGCAAAAAACCAACCGCCTCCTCAGTCAAACAGCAAATAATCGAATGGCTCTTGAAAAATAACATTACTTGTTCACCAACAATGACAAAATCAGAATTACTAGTTCTTGTAAAATCTGCTCCCGTTCCAAAAACGTACACAAAAGATAAGCTGTTTTATGACGCAGGGCATGATGTTTTACGCCTGCCACCTTACCACTGCGATTTGAACCCTATCGAACTCGTTTGGGGCGATATCAAGGGAAGATTAGGAGAGTGTTTGGCCGAGAGTATGGCTGCAAAGAAAGAAATGTGTATGAGACTTTTTTCTGAATATACGCCTGAAAAATGGAAGAAATGTTGCGAACATGTGGAAAAAATAGAAGAATTATATTGGGAGAGGGATGCACTAATGGACGAAAATGTGGATAGGATTATAATATCATTAAATGACGATGATAGCGAAAGCAGTGAAAGCTCGGATAATGAAACCATTCACAGTTTGCCAAGTGAAGATGGAAATAGCGATTTTGAGGACATACGAGTGCTCGATTTCGACAGTTACTAACTGAACGATGTTGAAAATATGATGTATTAGTGTGGGATGAGTGTTTATTTCAAAAAAATTTTGTTAGGTGTGAGAACTATTTCCGTTTAAAGGTTTACAAGCAAGAATAGTAATATAGGCTAATATTTATATATACAATATATTGGGAGTGAGCGAAACAACCAGTCTGCATTATCTGTTTGTAAATACTGCCGTTTGAAGAACATACACATGCCGTCTAGCCGTCTACACGTCCAATGGAATAATGGAATAAGGTAGTAGAATTTCCTTATGTACTTATTTAATAGTTTAAAACATATTTGAATGTACTATTAACTCGTATCCGGGTCATTCTCCACTAAACGCAAAAAACTAAGTATCCCTGTGAAAAAAAAAATTATATAGAAGACTTTGATTTTCATATTTACAAAATATCTTTAATTAAATTTGTTTTATAGCATACATATTCTATTTTTTCAATAATTTGAAAAATTATCATAGATTTCTTGTTCACAGACTATGACAAGTCATGTCCGTGGACTGTCACCTACCATGTTTCTAACAGTTAGCAAGTGAATAAAAAATAAAAAAAGATGTTTTTTTCTTATGGAAATAATTATATTGCAATAATTAACTGTTAGTAATCGTCTCACCCCCTTAAATTTATTTTTAATTAAATAATGTTTATCAAAATTTCTATAAAACTCTTGTCACTAAAATTGTCATCATGTCTGTGGACAATTGAATTTTAGTCTCTAAATGACTTTTCTAGTAGTGGAACTTGACTAATGCAGTACTTGTACAAGAAGAGGGATAGCCATCTTGGATATATTCAGTTCTTTGAGTTGTGCTGTGAAGAAATTTGTGTTGTTTTGCTTGTTGTTGTGAGAAAAGGAGGCAACGTTAAGATCATCTCATCAGATCTGTGGTCAGTATTATTGTAAACACAATTGTACTGTTATTGTGTTTTTATTTTTGTACTATCCTATTACAGGTGTTCAAACCAAAACAGTCATTTTATTAAGATAACCTAAAAGGTTTTGGGTGTAGACAATCATTCTCATGCTTGGCATCATTTCCGTGGACATCATGTCCGTGGACTACGATGTCCACGGACATGATGAAAATGTCCACGGACATTATTTTAAAAGGAAAGTCAATAAATAATAACATTTTAACTTTTTTTATGTAGGTTCCCTTAATTATTTATCACCCAAACATATATTAATGCCAGAAAGTTTAAATTACACATTTAATTTCTGTCACAATTTATAGAATAACTTAAAAGAAATTTTATTACAATTTTTACAAAGAAAATTTAACTAGGCCTACTTAAGCCAATTTGGTTGCCTTAACTTAGTCATTAATTACACTTAGTACACAATTTATATTTTATGTTTATTAATATTTTAAAATACAAAATTAACTGAATGTTCAAAACTTAAATTCAAAGTATAAGTTGGAGGAAAAGTGACATTGTAATAAACTGTTTCATGATTAAAACATGAAAGATTAAAAAATTTCAACATGAATATTAATTTGAAAGCAAAATTGTCTACAATTTTACCCTCTAGGTATTTTTTTTATTTTTTTTCAGGCTTTGACAGTCAAAATGCCAGGCAAAAAGAAAAAGAAAAATTCAGACGCATACTTATTAAAACGGAAAGAGCAAAAGAGGTTGAGCATGCAACGTGCAAGGGAAAAATTAAAAACTGATCCAGACAAATATGAAGAAGAGAAGAAGAAAGATAGGGATAGGAAAAAAAGGAGTAGAAAAAGTATTCATGAAATGACAGAAAGAGAACAGAGAAAAGTTAGAAAAGGCTGGAAGAAATGTTCCCAGACTTACCGGGAACGGTTGAAAAAAAATAAAGGAATAGAGGAAGAACTTTTGAATAACACGCCACCTAACAGCCCAATGCCTATTTTAAATGTTTCAAATGAAGTTGAGGTATCAACATCAAGGGTTGACAGTGGTAAAAAGAAGAGGAGAAAAAACAGAGAAAAAATGAAAAAAGAAATGAAATCTCTAACTGATGAAAATAAAAAGCTCTTAAGGAAATTGGCAAAATACAAACAGAGGCTAAATAGATTGAAAAAAGCCAAAGTATTGGACCTAACGCCCAGGAAGAAAATTGAAAAACTATTGAACGGACAAAAGTGTTCTAATGAAGTAAAAAAACAGCTTTTATTTTCTGAAGTCTTGCAAATGCAAGTTAAAAGTAATTTTGCCAAAGAAAGAAAACTCAGCCATAAAAGGCTAATGGTAAAATCTCTCAGTGGGAAAATTGTTAAAAAATACAAGCTGTCCCATAAAGTAGCATCCTTAACTTCCTGGAGGACTCAGATCAGTGGTCAAGAATGGACCGCTGGAGTTCATTTAGTAAGAAAAAGAGACTTATTAAAAAAAGTCAAACTACGCCAGGATATATTGACATTCCTGGAAGATGATGAAAACAGCAGGCAATGCCCTGGAAAAAAAGATACGATAACAAGGTCAAAAACTAAAAAGCAGAAAAGGGAGTTGAACGACTCACTAAAAAACTTGTATACAAAATTTATATCATGCTATGAGGAACATAACAAAATAAGCTATTCTCATTTCTGCCGATTAAGGCCGTTTTGGATTGTCATTCCTCACTGCAGGTCAAGGGAAACTTGTCTCTGCAAAATCCATACTAACATGAGCCTTATTGTTTCAAAAATGAACACGCTAAAGATGATCAGAGAAAGAACGCCTGAAGACCTAATAAAGAACATTACTTGTGAAAATGAATATTTAAAGGAGAAATGTTTGGAGAAAAAATGCATGGAGTGTAAGGGAAACAAGGTAGCATTTTTAGATTACAATGAAGAGGACAGTGTCACTTTATATCAATGGGTTGACAAGAAAGTTGAAGTGCAGATGAAAGGAAAAAAAAAAGTGTTGCAAGAAAACAACAAAGGAAGAAATAACTTGTTCTAAGAAAAAACTGAAAATTTTGTTTCAAAGCATGTTTGATAAATTTGTTCAGCATGTTAATAACATAATTCATCAACACCATGCTGTCAGACAAATAAAGAAGACCTTAAAAGAAAATGAAGCTTTCTTGCATATGGATTTCTCAGAGAATTATAATTGCAAATTTGGCCAAGAGATCCAGTCATTTCACTTTGGAGGAAGCAGAGATCAAGTTTCAATGCACACCTCTGTACTGTATTACCATGGCATAAATGGAACTGTCAGCCAGACTCTGTGCACATTATCTGAAAACAGAAGACATGATTCTGTCGCCATTTGTGGCCACCTAGTACCTATTTTCACAGAGATAAAAAAGTATGTTCCGAATCTGGAAAAAGTTCATTTTTTGAGTGATGGCCCGACCAATCAGTACAGGAACAGGAAGATGTTTGTTTTAGCTGCTAAATTTATAGCGAGAGAACTAAATGTAGAGACATTGCATTGGCACTTCTCCGAGGCCAACCATGGGAAAGGTGCCCCAGATGGGGTTGGTGGGGTCCTTAAGCGAACTGCAGACTGTGTTGTAGCTCGGGGTAAAGACATTCCCAGTATTGATGCTTTGATACGAGTGCTAGAACAAAACTGTAAAGGAGTTCATCTCTTCAAAGTAGATACTGAAGATATCTTGAAATTAGATACAGAATTCCATGGTTTAGAACTACCAAAATTTAAGGGGATTTTGAAAGTCCACGAAATAGCCTGGAGTAGAAAAATGAAAGATGAAATCTCAGCTAGACGACTCTCTTGTCTTCTATGTGAAGCCAATCAAGAATGCGACCACTATGAGATTGGGAAGATAATGATTCAAACCCCCAAATGTATCCTTTGGAAATTAGTATACATAGGATTTTACTGTTTCAATTTACCTGTTAGGGGCCTAAATGTTTTACTGTCTACTTTTTCATATAAATTACTGTTCGATTAACTACCTTTACAACTGTTCCAATTTATTTGTTTTCTGTATTTTGTTTTGGTTTTTCCTACTATTGTTTAAGACACACTCAGTTTTTATCCAAGCATATTAAAGTAGCATGATTATTTGAATGTTTTCCTTAACCAGTTTTTCAGGTGATAAAAACCATGATGGAGAAGGAGGTGATGACAATGTCTGCACTAATCTACCTGCTAAGTGTATCCTTTTTAATTTGTTTTGTTGGATTTTTATTTTGCTAATTTATTACTTTTCTCAAAGGAACAGATGAATAATTTTACAAGTTACAACAGTTTCATTGAGCTATTAGAAGGCTTGTACTTATAAATATATTTAAAGAAAGATCTTTGAAAAATGGTATCTGAATGAGGTTCTCTAGAATACATAATTCTGTGATTCTCATCCCCCTGTGATAACCTCAAAATTTACTGCTAAAGGTCTATCCCTCAGCTCCATGGACATCAGCTCCATGGACTCCATGGTCAATTTAATGACCACGGAGCTGAGTAAATGTCCACGGAGCTGAGGGTTTTAGCTTTTCATATATAAACTATGGGTTTTTTGGTGTAATTTACATTGATTTAAATAAGTTACCTACGAGACTTCAGTTATTATTTATAAAATTTTTAAATACAACAACTTATTTACTTTCCAAATACAAAAACGCATTGATTTTCCTTCACTGTTTTACAGCTAAGAAACAGAAGACATTCCGGAAGAAAAAGCCAATATACTCTGCCATATACAGTGATTCGGATTCTGATCCAGATAACCCTCCAGAGCTCAATGTGAAAACCAATGACTTTGTTGTCGTTAAAGTGTTCGGGAAAAAAACCTTGAACTTCTATGCAGGTTGTGTCACAAAATGTTTCAATAACGGGGGTTACCAGATAAGATTCATGCGAAGGTGCATTGACACTAAAAACAAATTCTTTTTTTCCAGTGAGCCTGAAGCATCAGTTACCAAAGATGAGGTTGTTGCTACTTTGGAGCAACCAGATTTAATAAATTCTAGAGGCCTGTACGTTTTCAAACAATTGCCTGAGAATTACAAGTTATTAGGTTAGCTTTCAAGTAGTAGGCCTATTT